AAAGCACTAAGTGATAGAACAATGTCTACTATGACAGTATTCTAACTTTTCACTCATAATTTCATAAACCAATACAAACTGACTCAAAATGCAAATTTAATCTTTTAGGGGAAAGATAATTCAATTACATTACTAATTCTAAATTACCACAATCAAACCCCAGGATCAGACTCTAAACATATCCATTAACAAAAAGAAAACCACACAGCACTAAACAGTGCAAGATATTTAGGTTGAGGAACTCCCTTATAAGGAGGAACCCAAAGGCATTTTAGATCGGAAAGATGATGAAAACCAATTATAGAGCCTCCCTGGTGGCACAAGGGGTTAAAACACAACCTATGAAGCTGTCCGCAGCCACTGCAGCAAGAGTTCAATCTCCGGCCAGGGAACTGCCCACATGGCGTAGCAGACCTCTCCTGACTTGCCAGCTGCTCCTCTCAGCAGGGTATTCCAGTCAATCTGCCTGTTCTGTTCCCCATTCTGTCTCTGGTGAATCCTCTCACCCCCCCCCAACTCTGGCCTGTACCCCATTCTTATATGTATAAATAAATCTTTAAAAAAAAGAAAACCAATTATAAGTTGTCCCCCTCTCATCTAACAGTAACTCTATTCTTTCAGACCTGGAGGGTAAAAACTTCGGTATCATCGACTTCTCTCACTCCCCAAATCCAAAGCATTATTAAATTCTATTAGCCCATCACAGTACACCCAAAATCTCATACTTGTCACTAACCCTACTGCCAGCACCCTGGTCCAAGCTACCACCTCTTGCCCAAATCACTACAACAACTTCTAAAAAAAAAGCCATCTCTGACTTCCCCGGTGGCGCAGCGGTTGAGCGCTGGGTTGAGAAGCTGCCCGCGGCCTCTGCAGCGCCGGTTCGATCCCCGGCTGCTCCCCGGCCACCGGAGGAGGGTCCCACATGGTGCGCAGACCTCTCCCTGCCCCGCTGCTCCCCTCAGCAGTGTGCTTCGGTCCTTCTGCCTGCTCTGCTCCCTGCTCTGGCTCTGGTGAATTCTCTCACCCTCACGCGATTCTGACTGTACCCAGTGCTTGTATAAATAAATAAAAATAAATCTTTAAAAAAAAAAAAAAAAAAAAAAAAGCCATCTCTGGCCATTATTCCTAAAATTTCACCCCCCATCATCACACCTTCACTTCATACAGGCCATCGTCCTCTGCTTTATTTTTCTTGTTAGCACCTACCACGAAGATAGCAAATTTTTTTTTTTAGCTATTTACTTTGCGTAATCTCCATGAGGGCATGTTTATAACATTCACTGCCCAATACCTACAATGGTATCTGGCACATAGCATACACCTAACACATGTTTGAAACAGTATGTGAATGAATGGATCTGGAATGAACAAGAAAACAGATATTTCAAAAGAGGTAAGAATGACTAGCTGCAGGTAGAGCTGAAGCTCAAGCTCCAAGGGCATTCTTGGCACACCTGTGCTATCTCTGGCTCAGTGACCATGCGGTGAACCAAGTGAGCAAACCATTATTGAAGACTGAAGAATTTATATGCTCTATAACAGGGAGTGTTTCTTGCAAGTTCATCATCTATTCTAAATCAATCAAGAAGAAATTTGGGAGGAAATGAAGCCACAACTGAAAAATATGATTGTCTACCTAATATAAACTATGCTTTAACATGCTACAAACTGTAACTAAAACTTATTATGGAGGGAACATCAAAGGGCATAGCTAAAGCCAGAATTCTGAAGTACATATTTCTCCCACTACTCAAAAGCAGAATGATCCATTTGGCAGGTTATGTCATAGGCCTGGGAAAGCTGTTACCATTAATTTATATGGAAAAATCTTTTAGCATACCTGGACCCAAAAAATAACCTACCAGGGCCTCCCTGGTGGTGCAGCGGGTTGAGTGCAGCACTGTCAAGCTGTCCACAGTCTCTACAGTGCGGGTTCAATTCCCAGCTGGCCAGGGAGCAACCCACATGGCGCGGCAGACCTTTCCTGTCTCACCCGCTGCTCCCCTCAGCAGTGTACTTCAGTTAGTCTGCCCATTCTGTTCCCCATTCTGTCTCTGGTGAATCCTCTCACCTCCCCCCACATCTGGCCTGTGCCCCAGTTCTTGTATAAATAAATCTGTAAAAAAAAATAACCTACCAAATCATACCAAATAGGAATAGTCTGTCTTCAGATAGTGGGGGAAACCTGTAATGACATGTAGACAAGAGAAAACCAGGGATCTATCTAAATCAATCTCTCTACTTACCAACTGTACGACCAAAATCTCTCTGAACCTGTTAACAACCTGGTCAAAATAAGGGTCCTTATTTTCCAAGCCACTTTCAACTAGTTATCTCAAGGATGAAATAATGGGAAAGCACTTTTAAAAGTATTAAATGCCATATACCACACAAATGCCAAGAAGTTACTAAATTCTAATGATGTTAACTTATTGGCCCCTGGAAGATTAAAAATAATCTTAGAAACCTTTAAGTTTTAAAGACTTTTATAGATTTATGCATCAGGATGTAGCGATTTCTTCCCCAGGCCCCAAAGTAATAGAAAATTTTGCTTCAGAGAAAAAACTAGCAGAAAAGAACTGCTTTCCCCCTGGTCTTCTTCTGCAGTTGCCTAGGGGCCAATCCAAACTAGGGCATACACCTCTGTTCAGGACATGTTAAGGGTCTCTGTTGTGAACCAGCAGCATAAGGGACTTGATGCACACCTGTACTTACACTGAGATCATGATTTAGCCTTTTCCACAGTAGGTCCAGGGAAATCACAGGGTGACGTTACATATACCTACCTGCATCCCAGGGTTTTGATGTAAGGAATTGGGAGAATGGCTGTGCCCATCCATTAAACAGGGAACATAGGCTGGAGTCACCTGTAGGTTTGCAGTACTTGGAGGATATCTGAGTGGAGAGGCCCCACAGGTCTTGGCCTATGAAATTGTGGGGGCCAGCTATAGACCAAGTAATGGGAAAAGCTATCTGCACACAGGGGAGGCAGATGAAAATAAACAGGTGGGTAAAAGCTATGAGTGGCGACATAGTCACTGAAGGTTTGGGTACAGAGTGAGAACATAAACCAGAGGTTGCCAGACATTTAGAAGGTGATCAAGTACCAATGAGGAGACTTAAAAGTAATGATCTCTGAGGTAGGAAGAAGGCCAGCACTGGCTGCTAAGATGTGGAGAATGGAAAACATAATTAAAACAGGAATGTGGCTCAAGCAGCATTGGGTACTTTGATTTGTCTACCTAGAACTCTCTGGAGAACTTAGGAAGGGGCTATTCCATATGTGGATGGGAGAACAGGAATCTAGAGATAACCAAATAGGTACATGACTGTAGTCTCCACTTCAAGAAGGTAGGCTTTAAAGTAATCAAAACATGGGGTAGCGGAAGCAGAGAGCTTGTGCTTTAGTGTTAAAAAAGAAAGAACTGGGGCCTCCCCGGTGGCGCAGCGGTTGAGCACTGGGTTGCGAAGCTGCCCGCGGCCTCCGCGGCGCTGGTTTGATCCCCGGCTGCTCCCCGGCCGCCAGAGGAGGGTCCCACATGGTGCGCAGACCTCTCCTGCCGCCCGCTGCTCCCCTCAGCAGTGTACTTCGGTCCTTCTGCCTGCTCTGCTCCCCGCTCTGGCTCTGGTGAATTCTCTCACCCTCCCGCGCTTCTGACTGTACCCAGTGCATGTATAAACAAAACAAGCAAACAAACAAATAAATAAATAAAAAACATGCCTCTATAAAAAAAAAAAAGAGAGAGAACTGTTTTCTCAGTTACAGGAAGGTTACAGCATGAAAGACCTGCAAGTAATTACCACTATCAATCTATTTTTCAAAATAAAATGATTCACACCACAAAAATTATATATAATTTACATCTATGTGGTACATTCAAGATTGGGGTGGGGGAACAACTTCAAAGGAGCAAAAGGGAACTTTTGGATTGATGGAAATACCCTTATTTCTTATATTTGTCAAAACTCATGCTACTGTCCAATGTAAATGGTCTAAAATTTCTGCAAGTGGGGCCTCCCCGTTGGCGCAGCAGGTTGAGCACAGTGCTGTGAAGTTGTCCACAGCCTCTGCAGCGTGAGTTCGATTCCCGGCTGCCCAGGGAGATTCCCACATGGCATGACAGACCTCTCCTGTCTGCCCGCTGCTCCCCTCAGCAGTGTATTTCAGTCAATCTGCCTGTTCTGCTCCCCACTCTGTCTCTGGTGAATCCTCTCACCCTCCCGCGCCTCTGGCCTGTACCCCAGCTCTTGTATAAAAATAAATAAATCTTTAAAAAAAAAAATCTGCAAGTGATAACACCCATGAGGTCTAAACAAATCAAATGCCTGTCCTTTTCCTTAAACTAAACACCACCAACTCGGTAATACAAAGGTCTCCAGAAATTCTTTACTGAGAACTAATACAACAGCCTTGAAGATTTAAGATAACAAAACCTGACTCAATACCGCAAAAAAACAAAAGAAAAAAGGAAACTCGAGACCTTTTGGCGTCAAGGTCAACTCCAATTTAGAAAAGGGGGCTGGGGGAGGCAGTGTATTTGGGGTAGGGGTGATCTCAGCTTCTTCTCAAGATAAAAACCCCAAAACGGTTATACTTCAGACGGTAAAGTGAAAGGAGAGGCTGGGGCTCTTCAGAGCCGGGCTGCTAAGTGTGTGACCTTGAGGGTCCTCGGGCTCTCTGAGGCTCAGTTTCCCTCACTGTAAAATGGGGGTAACGACGGCCTGGAGCCAGCCCGGCGGGCAGTCCGTGCTCAGCACGCGTGAAGTAACCCCTGTAATTGAAGGTCTGAGCCTCCAGCGCAGGCGGGAAAGGCAAGCCGACCTCGGCTCCCCACTTGCCCCCTGGGGGCGTGGGTGTCGTGACCCTTCGGCGCAGGCCTCGTGGCCCTCAGCCAGCCGTCATTTCCCTCACGCCCACACCCCCCCCCACTGCCTCGCCGGCCCCACTACCCCGCACCCCTGCACCTCCCTGGGGCTGCGCCCCCCGGGGCCCCCACCTCGTTGAGGAAGCGGGTGATATCGTAGACTCGCCCGTGAATCACCAGCCATATGTTCTCCGGGGAGTTGCGCTTCGCCACCTCCTCCAATCGATAATAAGTGACGGGCTTCTCGACCCCCTGCCCTTTCCCACCGCTGCCGCTGGCTTCCACGGACGCCATGGGGCCTGGGAGTCTCTCCGGCCCTGCCACCCGGGCTTCCGCGCGAACTTCCTCAGGGAACGCGGCGCTCGGGCCTTCCCGGCTTCCGTAATTGGGAACCACACGGCCGGAGCGGGCTCTGGCAACGGCCAATCAGGCTTCCGAATAGTCCCCGGGTCGTCTTCTTTTCGCCAATGAAAGGAGGGATTCAGCTCCAAATCCCGCCCACTCCCCGCCTGACCCTCGGGCGTTGGCCTGGTTCGAGGTCCCACTAGCCAACCAGGACCGCCCATTCCCCGCTATCTCTCCAATCAGATGCCGTGATTTTGGAAACGGACTGAAGAAGCCGGTCGGCAGGTGTCACCCGGGACAGGCTTCCCCTTCGCTCCCAGGCGGGCCTGCGGAGCTCTGCCGGAGGGAGCCGAGTTCCCAGTTTCCCCCTGCCCCTGCCTTCGCCGGGGACCCCTCCTGAGTCCCGGAGGCGCGTTTTCCCCGCCTCCTCGGTGGCCAGTGCCGGGCTGATCTCGGCCTTGCAGCCTCCAGGCCGCGCTCTGGGGCGTCTCCTCTCTAAGGCCGTCACCTCATCAGGACACTGCGCATGGCATCCTCTGTCCTACAGAGAAGCGTGGCCGATGAGAGAGTATCTGCAAGAGCACTTGGCACAGAGTAATAGATAGATGGTGCTGGAAAAGGCGGAGTGACGGAGCCTGCGACCTTATTAGGATAGAGATTGGGTGTAGTGTTTCTGCCACCAGTAAGACTGATTTCGTGGGACCTCGCTGGTGGCGCAAGGGGTTAAGACACAACCTATGAAGCGATCCCTGGATCGCTGCAGCACAAGTTCGATCCCTGACCAGGGAACTACCACCACGGCGCAGCAGACCTCTGTCTTGCCCGCTGCTCCCCTCAGCAGTGGGTCTCAGTAGAGCTGCCAGTTCTGTTCCCCACTCTGTGTCTGGTGAATCCTCTCACCCCACCCCACCCCCGCACCTCTGGACTGGGGTTTCTCAGTAGCAGGCGTCTTATAAGCTTCCTCAAAGGGACCTGGATTCAGGGTTCCCAGACACTTAGGCCCCAGTATGAAGACTGTCACCACTGCCACACATCTTTCATGCACGGAGTCTCAGGATGCTTAAGAATGTGGACTGAAGACTAAAAGGCCCTTCTTGAATGTTTTCCACTCTAAAATTCCTGGAAGGAGATCAATTCCCATAAATGACTGAGGCTGAATTTGTCACTGTCATAGCAAGGGGAATAAGGATCACATTAAAGTATTTTTTAATTAAAATTTAATTTCTGTTTTAGCATTTTTCAAACAGGTTAGTTGAAGTACAATACAATGAACTCCCATATACTTTTAGATTCACCAATTGTTACTATTTCTCCATACATAAATGATTTAACATTATTATTATCATTCAATTTAGAATAAACTGCAGAACACCATGACCCTTTACTTCCAAATAGTTCAGCATATATCTTCAAAGAATAAGGCCAACTTTAAGGAATTTTGACACTGACATGCTTGCTAAGCTATTACCTAACATGTTGTTCATATTATTTACCAGTTGTGGAATTTTGGTGCGTTACTGTGATCCAGGATGCAATCCAGAGTCATGTCTTGCATTTAATTATGTTTCATTAGTCTTTTTCCTTCATGACAGTGACATTTATAAAGAGTACAGCTTCAAATTGAATTCAATTCAGAAAAATAGTGTGTCCAAAATATGTTAATTGTGAATTCCTATTTACAATTTATATCACATGTTAGTGAGAAAGTCTAACTTTGGGAAACTTGGAGGCCCTGTCCCTGCACTCATAAACTTGGTAATCTTAGGCAGCGTTCTCAATCTTTTTTTTTTTTTTTTGCCACGGTGGCTACCTGTTCCAACACCATTTGATGAAAACACAAATCCCCTTTGAATTGCTTTCATGTCTTTGTTGAAAATTTCCTTATTAGACAAGAGTGTAGATTTTTCTGAAAGTTCTACTCTGTTCCATCGTTTTGTCTATCCTATGCCAACTCCACAGTCTTGATTATTACAGCTTTGTAGCAATGTTTGAAGTCAGGTACTATAAGTCCTTCGGCTTTGCTCTCATTTTCTAGAATGTTTTTGCTATATTCTACGTCCTTTGCACGTCCACATAAATTTTAAAATCAGCTTTGTGATCAAAGTTAACATCACCAAGTGATAACTCATGTTGATAACAATCACCGCCTGGTGTGTGATGAAGAGGGCACTTCACCCCCGTGGCATCCTTCCCCCAAGCCCATAATTTCAGTCTAAACATTAGAAAAACATTAGACCAACCCAAACTGAGGGACATTGTACAAAATCTGAGCAGTACTTCCCAGAACTATTAAACTCGGGCAGGGGAGGTGGGGGGGAGCACTGAGAAATTGTCACAGATCTGAGCAGACTAAGGTGACAATTAAATGCAGTGTGGTTTTCTGGATTGGATCCTAGAACAGAAAAAGTTTTTGAGGGAAACACCAGTGAAATACAAATAAAATAAATACAAATAAATACACTACTTTAGTTTCTATGTGTTCTAAATCGCATTCACTTCAACTGTCCCCCACCGCAGATCCCAGCATGTTGGTTACATGCAGTGTTGTGGGCACCTCATTTTAACTGCCATTACAACTGACAGGTTGATCATGATGTAATGTCATTTTTCTCATGTCCCCCTCCCACTGTAATACTTCCCACCAGACACTGACTCCTAGGTCTGCCAATTTTTTTTCAAAGATTTATTTATTTATGCATATGAGAACTGGGGTACAGGCCAGAGGTACTAATAATGTACTGTGTTGATTTCTTATTTTTTTAATATTTTATTTTATATAATTCTGATTTCTTATTTTTGACAAATGTATCATAGTAATATAATTTGTTACCATTATGGGAAACTGGATGAAAACACATAGGAGGGCCTCCCCGGTGGTGCAGCGGTTGAGCGCTGGGTTGCGAAGCTGCCCGCGGCCTCTGCGACGCCGGTTCGATCCCCGGCTGCTTCCCGGCCACCGGAGGAGGGTCCCGCATGGCGCGCAGACCTCTCCTGCCGCCCGCTGCTCCCCTCAGCAGTGTACTTCGGTCCTCCTGCCTGCTCTGCTCCCCGCTCTGGCTCTGGTGAATTCTCTCACCCTCCCACGCTTCTGACTGTACCCAGTGCATGTATAAACAAACAAACAAATAAAGAAAGAAAGAAAACATGCCTCTATAAAAAAAAAAAAAAAAAAAAAAAAATTAATAAAAAAAAAAGAAAACACATAGGAACTCTCTAGTATTTTTGCAACTTTTCTGTAAAATTATTCAAAAAAAGAATTCTTTTAAAAATCAGCCTGTTAATATAACAGTTTATAGATAAATTTATAGAGAATGGGCATTTTACTAATTTTGAGTTTCACAATCCACAAATATGGCATCTATATCGCCACTGATTTAAATCTTTCTTTTAATTTACAGTTTTGAGTAACAGAGGTGTGCATTTTTGTTAAATGTTTCTAAGTATTTTATGGCTTTAATGCTATTATAAATGGAGTTATTTTCCAATTGTTTTCAGTTATAATAGAAAAATATGATTTTGTACATTCACTTTGTAGCCTCTGACTTTGCCAAACTCACATATAGTTTTAGTGCTTGTTATGATTTCTAATACATATTTTTTTTCTGCATCTATTGGGATAATTATACAATTTTTTCCTTTATTTTGTTAAGATGGTGAATTATATTGTGAATGGTTTTCAAAAACTTGTCTTTCTTATTTTTTTAATCGTCTTTCATTCCTGGTTATGTTAGTCTTTAATATTGTTAAATTCAATTTGCTATTTTTAAAGCATCTTTGCATCTCTATGCATGAGAAATATTGGTCTATAATTTTCTCTTCTTCAGTATTAGATGGATTTTTTTTCAAGTTCTTTGACAAATATCTTCTAAATGACAATAGCTAAGCACTGCGTAATGAGAGAATTAAGCAAAACTCTTAGCATAGTCCCTGCCATAGAGAGTCCTCAATAAATGCTGACTGTGTTGGAATATTATTTGTAGATGCTATAAATGAGATCCAACTCTTAAGGAAACTTAGCTTTCCAAGAGGAAGATGGCACTTAGCATACAAAACATTTTTAACATTAACATTTTACTTTTGCAATTTTCACATATCAGGCAATCCTCTCCTACTGCGGTACCGGTGTTTTATCTCTAAATGATCTCAGGTAGCAGTAGCCTTCGTGTGTAAAATGCCACTCAAGGGAAGTTATTAATTTACTTGAAAGCTTGTTTTGCTTTTGTATAAACAGTGGAACTGGAATGGGAAAATGTCAAGGATAACTGTTCATGCTCTGCAAACAGCAAGGAACAAGGATTCTGTCCCATTTTTTGCAGTGTTTTGATGTGTTTTTAAAACACACCTTCTGTGTACTCATACTGTGAGTGCTGGACTGGAGTTGGGGGGGGGGTGGTTCTCCTATCCTGTTCCAGGAATGGAATACAAAGGGGTGGCCCTCCAATCTGTTAATCCCCTTCTCAAGGTATTATGTGCCCTGGCAACCTAATCTCTTACCCTGCCTGTGGGAAGGGAAACTTTTACTTTTTTTTACTTTTTTTTAATTTTTTAAGATTTTTTTTTATGCACACAAGAATTGGGGCACAGGCCAGAAGTGTGGGAGGGTGAGAGGATTTACCAGAGACAGAGAGGGGAACAGAACAGGGGATTGATTGAAATACCCTGCTGAGGGGCGCAGTGGGTGAGACAGGAGAGGTTTGATACAGGTGGGTAGCTCCCTGGCTGGCTGGGGATGGAACTCCTGAGAGCTGCAGTGGCTACGGATAGCCTTATAGTGCTATGACTTAACCCCTTGCGCCACGAGGGAGGCCTGGGAAGGGAAACTTTTAAAGCCATCACAGTTCCACATTCCCCTTCCCAGGGTCAGACCTGATCCATCCAGTATCAGGGAGGTTTCAGGAAGTGGGTGTAAAGTTAGGAGCCCATATCCTCCAGGATATGGCTTTAGGGGGAGTTTCGTTGCAAGCATCTTAGAGTTGTTCCAACTCCTTGGTCAGCCAGACTACCCTAGCCTGTTGGGTGGCCTCATCTGGAGTTTTCCCC